AACGTGTCGAGATTATACACTGCGCCATCACAAACTGGGTTCGAGTCCCGCTGAAGGCGCTGCTAAAACCCGTTTGGGCAAGGTCGAGACAGCAGTCCACTGCTGTCTAGATGAAAATACTTTTGGGGAAAACAAGGCTATGTGAAATCCAATGAATACGTAAGGTCTACTCATATCATTATGCAAAAATGCAACCGCCAGTCCCCTTATTACTTTAAACTAAATAGGAGGAATATATCTCAATAAAAATTAATATTTTTGCTTTACACACCTACTCTATACAAAGGACCAATTGATATATGAAGAAAAACTGCGCTTTCCATGAGATAACATTGTTGAGGAGACTTTCATTTCGTATCCGAGTGCATGATGAAGAGATTTGAAGGTACGATTCCTCACTTCATCACCCACAGATGGCATAGATTTCCCTTAATGGTCTCAGGAGGCAGTTACCTTGATACAGTTGTTTGAAATAAGGAGGAAATCGAGTTCGTCGTTTTCCCAAAGTCTAATGCAATAAGAGGAACTTTAAAACCCCTCAAATTTGCGCTAATCGACCTAAACTTAGCACAGAAGGTTCACTATCACGGGTAATAGGAGCAATGCATCTGTGTCTCATGCATAAGCGCCTTGGAAACGCAGTTTCGATCCCAAAGGATCTAAAAAACGCCACCATTCAGCTCCAGAATAAGCAAGGTACAGGAGGAATTGTTCCTTTTTGGTATTAGTAACTGTGCCAGTCGCCTAGTCTTCCAGGAATCAGGACACGGCTACAGCGCATCAGCAAGTTAACCATCGCAATCTGTTCATCAAATCATGTGTCCACAAAGAACATCCTGAACTTTTCTGTCGAGGTGAGGGCCAATATTAGACAGGGCAGCATAATCACGCTGCATAGGCTCTATTTCTTCTTCCCATCCCTCCTCAGTCCTCTGCGACGAATCTCAGCAGCCACTTCCTTCATGCATTCGAAGAAACCTCGCCTATATTTCCATTTGGTAATACATTTATTTTAATTTTTTGTCGATAAACCCTATATTCTACCTTCCAGGATGGTCTCTTCTTCCTTAACTTGGGTTATTTAAAAGCGATACCCTTGTGCAGAACACCAGGAGTCATTGAATTTATATATATATATATATATTTGGATCAATAAATAAACATACCACACGCCAAAGACGTCCTTTTATGTCAGTCCACCATTCCAAGGCAGTGGGTCCAGTTCGCCAGTTGAGGGAAGCGGATTCGTTTGGCTTCAAGCCCCTATTCGAATCGGCTTCGGCGATACATCCTAACTGAAGCCAAATTAATCCGGAAGATGAGAAGGCCCAAACTGGCGAATCACTCGAGCTCCTCATCAAGGCGTCTTGCTGTAGTTGAGTCAACAGTCCCTTGTCAGGTACAGCAGCCACACCTCCCCGATCACCCAAGCCTAACCACCAAGCCGCCTGAGCAGCTAAGGCCATGATCCCAGATTCAGATCTTGGATCATTGTAGTCGGAAGGTCGCAGGCCAGCTGAGAAAAAGTCCGTTTCTAGGAGACCCAGGGCGAGGGTGATTATAAGGTGCCCTCCAGATAGGAGCAGAGAAAGCCCAAAAAGCCAAACTCGAGACCAGGCGAGTCCAAAGGCGGCGTCTGTAGAAGAGCGAGCATGCGACGCGAATGATAGGGGGGACGAAGACGGTGAGGGAAGAGGGGCTGCGAGTAAACTGGTATCTGCAAGAGTTATTGAGGCCTGTTTGCAATTCTCCAACCATGATCGCGATTTCTGATCCTCCTCTCTTCGACCGAGTCGGCTATCAGAGTCTAATCCCTCTAAATGGTCACTGGCGGCACCAAGAAAGGCATGTAGAGCGAAAACGATCATCGCAATAATCCAAGCACCAGAGGCATCAGGTCGATAAACAGCTACTTCAAAGAGGAGAAGGAGGTTGCTGGAAAGATTAGAAGAGGCATCAGGAGCCATCGCTTCTAAATCTTTGGGATCAAGCTCATTTTTGGACCAGCGAAGTTGACTTTTCATTTCGAGTTCGTCGATGAAAGAGACA